AGCTGGAGTAGCCATACTTAAATTAGACAAACTAGATGTTAAACTAAAGGCTGTAATGAGAGATGAAGAAGGGCATTAGGTAATAATTACGAGGTCTCTCCATCAACAAGAGCTAACAATTACAAACGTCTATGCACCGAATTCGGAAGCACCCAAATATATGAAACACTTAATCAAAAACATAAGCAACCTTATTGGTACGAATGTGGTAACTGCAGGGGCTTTAACACTCCACTTACAACAATGGACAGATCATATAGACAGAAAATCAATAAAGAAAAATGGCCCTGAATGATACACTGGACCAGATTGACTTGACAGATATATTTAGAACTTTTCATCCTGCAGCAGCAGAATACACATTCTTCTCAAGTGCACAGGGAACATTCTCCAAGATAGATCATATACTGGGTCACAAAACAGCCCTCAATAAATATAAAAGAATTGAGACCATACCATGCACACTTTCAGATCACAATGCTATGAAACTTGAAATTAATCACAGGAAAATGTTTGGAAACCCTCCAAATGCATGGAGGTTAAAGAACTTCCTACTAAAGAACAAATGGGTGAACCAGGCAATTAAAGAAGAAATTTAAAAATCTATTGAAACCAGTGAAAATGAAAACACAACAATCCAAACGCTTTGGGATGCAGCAAAGGCAGTCCTAAGAGGAAAATACATTGCAATCCAAGCCTATTTCAAAAAAACAAGAAAAATCCCAAGTACAAAATCTAACAGCACATCTAAAGGAACTAGATGCAGAACAGCAAAAAAACCCCAAATCCAGCAGAAGAAAAGGAATAATAAAGAGCAGAGCAGAAACAAACAATACAGAACCCCCCCAAAAAACAGTGGAACAGATCAATGAAACTAAGAGTTGGTTTTTTGAAAAAATAAACTAAACTGATAAACCTCCAGCCAGACTTCTCAAAAAGAAAAGAGAGAGGATCCAAGTAGATAAAATCACAAGAGATTTATTGCAACCAGTCCCTCAGAAATACAAGCAATTATCAGAGAATACTATGAAAAATTCTATGCCAACAAACTGGACAACCAGGAAGAAATGGACAAATTCATAAACACCCACATACTACCAAAACTCAAATGGGAAGAAATAGAACATTTGAACAAACCCATAACTAGTAAAGAAGTTAATCAGTTATCAAAAATCTCCCAACAAATAAGAGTCCTGGACCACATGGCTTCCCTGGGGAATTCTACCAGACATTTAAAGCAGAGTTAATATCAATCCTTCTCCAGCTGTCCCAAAAATATAGAAATGGAAGGAAAACTTGTGGAATCATTCTATGAATCCAGCATTACTTTCATTCCCAAACCAGACAGGGTCCCCACAAAAAAGTAGAACTACAGGCCAATATCCCTGATGAACATGAATGTAAAAATACTCAACAAGATATTAGCAAATCAAATTCAACGACATATACAAAGAAGTATTCACCATGATCAAGCGGGATTCATTCCTGGGCTGCTTGATATTTGATATTTGATATTTGATATTCCTGGGCTGGTTCACTATTCACAAATCAATCAATGTGATTCATCACATTAATAAAATAAAAGATCAGAACCATATGGTCCTGTCAATAGATGCAGAAAAAGCATATAACAAAATACAGCATCCTTTCTAAATAAAAACCCTCAAGAAAGCCGGGATAAAAGGAACATACTTAAACATCATAAGGGCCATAGATGAGAAGCCCACAGCTAATATCATCCTCAGTGGGGAAAAACGGAGAGTTTCCCCCTGAGATCAGGAACAGGACAGGGATGTCCACTCTCTCCACTCTTGCTTAACATAGTGTTGGAAGTCCTAGCATCAGTAGTCAGACAACAAAATGAAATAAAAAGCATCAAAACTGGCAAAGAAGCCAAACTTTCACTTTTCATAGACAACATGATACCCTACATGGAAACCCAAAAAACTCCACCGAAAGACTTCTAGAACTGATACATGAATTCAACAAAGTCACAGGGTACAAAATCAACGTACAAAAATCGGTTGCATTTTTATACACCAATAGTGAAGCAACAGAAAGATAAATATAGAAATGGATCCCATTTACAATTGCACCAAGAATCATAAAATACCTAGGAATAAACCTAACCAGAGATGTAAAAGATCTGTATGCTGAAAACTATAGAAAGCTTATGAAGGAAATTGGAGAAGACACAAAGAAATGGAAAAATATTCCATGCTCATGGATTGGAAGAATAAATATTGTTAAAATGTCAATACTACCCAAAGCTATCTACACATTCAATGCAATCCCAATCAAAATTGCACGAGCATTCTTCTCCAAGCTAGGAGAAAAAATGCTAAAATTTGTATGGAGCCACAAAAGACCCCGAATACCCAACATAATACTGAAAAAGAAAACCAAAGCTGGAGGAATCACAATCCCAGACTTTAGCCTCTACTACAAAGCTGTAATCATCAAGACGGTATGGTACTGGCACAAAAACAGAGGCATAGACCAATGCAATAGAATAGAGAACCCAGATGTGGACCCACAAATGGATGGCCAACTCATCTTTGAAAAAGCTGGAAAGAGTATCCAATGGGAAAAAAAGGCAAATGGTGCTGGGAGAACTGGACATTAACATGCAGAAGAAGAAAACTAGACCACTTTCTTACACCATACACAAAAATAAACTCAAAATGGATGAAAGACCTAAATGTGAGACAAGAAGTCATAAAAATCCTCGAGGAGAAAGCAGGCAACAACCTCTTTGACCTCGGCTGCAGCAATTTCTTATTCAACATATCTCCAAAGACCAGGGAATTAGAAACAAAAATGAACTATTGGGACCTCATCAAGATCAAAAGCTTCTGTACCGCCAAGAAAACAACCAACAAAAGGAAAAGGCAATCAACAGAATAGGAAAAGGTATTTGCAAATGACACACCGGATAAAGGACTGGTATCCAAAATTTATAAAGAACTCATCAAGCTCCACACTCGAAAAACAAATAATCCAGTGAAGAAATGGGCAGAAGATATGAATAGACACTTTTCCAAAGAAGACATCCAGATGGCCAACAGACACATGAAATGATGCTCAACGTCACTCCTCATCAGGGAAATACAACTCAAAGCTACAATGAGATACCACCTCACACCGGTCAGTGACTACAATGGACAAATCAGGAAATTATAGATGCTGGCAAGGATGTGGATAAATGGGAACCCTCTTGCACTGTTGGTGGGAATGCAAACTGATGCAGCCTCTCTGGAAAACAGAGCAGAGCTTCCTCAAAAAATTAAAACTACAACTACCCAGCAATAGCACTGCTAGGAATTTACCCAAGGGATACAGGAGTGTTGATACATAGGGGCACATGTACCCCTATGGTTATGGCAGTGCTTTCAACAATAGCCAAATTATGGAAAGAGCCTAAAATGTCCATCAACTGATGAATGGATAAAGAAATTGTGGTTTATATACACAATGGAGTACTATGTGGCAATGAGGAAGAATAAAATCATGCCATTCGGAGCAACGTGGAAGGAACTGGAGGGTGTCATGCTAAGTGAAATAAGTCAGTCAGAGAAAGACAGATATCATATGTTTTCACTCATATGTGGATCTTGAGAAACTTAACAAGACCATGGGGGAAGAAAAGGGGGAAAAAATAGTTACAAACAGAGAGGGAGGGAGGCACATCATAAGAGACACTCAAATACACAGAACAAACTGAGGATGGATGGGAGGGTGGGGGAGAGGGGAAAGTGGGTGATGGGCACTGAGGAGGGCACTTGTTAGGATAAGCAGTGGGTGGTGTATATAAGCCAATTTGAAAATAAATTATATTAAAAAAATTAACAGTTAATACCTGTTCTTAAAATACTCTAAAATATGAAAGTGGAAGTCAAGTTTCCAAGTTCATTCTACAAGGTCATCAGTACCCTGATACCAAACCAAATAAAGACATTACAAAACAATAACAAAACAACAGGCCAATATCTCCAATGAACATAAATACAGTAATTGTCAAGAAAATATTTTCAACCCAAATCCAACAATGCATTTAAAAAGTCATTCACCTTAGGTGCCTGAGTGGCTCAGTCAGTGAAGCGTCCGACTCTTGGTTTGGGCTCAGGTCATGCTCTCACAGTTCAGGAGTTCAAGCCCCCCATGAGGCTCTACGCTAAAAGAAAAATACCATATGACATCACTTTACATGGAATTTGGGAAACAAAACAAAGAAACAAAGAAAATGGAGAAAAGAAGACAGACCAAAAAAAACCCGACTCTGAAATTTAGAGAGGAAACTGGTGCTTGCCAGAGGGCAGGTAGGTGGGGGGTGGGTGAAAGAGGGGAAGGAGATGAAGAATACGCTCATATTGAGGAGCATGGAGTCATAGGAGAAGTGTTAAACCATTATACTGTACACCTTGAAGCAAACATAACCCAATGTTAATTACACTTGAATTTTACAAATTAATACAAAATGGAAATACTCTCATAGCAACAGAAGAAAGAAGTTTTAATTTTATAATCTTGGAATGAAAAGTGATATATGTAGCTTATGAAATCATTAATGAATTGGAAAAATAGGACACTGTCATAAAATTGCTCATAAACACATATGTCACTGAGTAACTCCTGCAGACATGTGAAAACTACACACCATTCTTTTCCCCCTGAAATGGTTTTTCTCCCCTTGCATCTTTCTCAGAAAACAACCCTAATTTCACTTGCAAAAAATCTACATTTAGGAATTTAATATGCAAAATGTATAGGATATACATTTTTCTTTCAAATTCAACTACATGAGGGATTTTCTCAGGACTAAAACATCTAATGTATACATATACATAAGATGAAGAACATCTTACATACATACACATACAATGAAGAAATCCAGTATAATGAAATGAAATCATACTGGTGCACACAGATTACATTTTTTATGGATCTACCCAAGGTGGGATGATATTTTCAACTGGTTGGGAAAAGTAACAGAGACCTACACAACGAATCTTGAAGTTACAGAAACTTGCATGTGCATCAGAAGGTCTGTCTTCTTTCTTACAGCGACAGAAAGGAGCTTTGAAAGTATGTGTGGTGAATGTAAAACTCAGGCAGGTCTATGAATCTATGAATGAGAAAATGAGCAAAAAAGAAAAAAAAAGTCGAAATGTATCAGACAGGGGAATCTAAGCATCAATTTTCATAAAGACAAAATACCATCAGGCTTTTTCTTCTAAAATTGATTCACAGGGGCGCCTGGGTGGCTCAGTCAGTTAGGCGGTCGACTTCGGCTCAGGTCATGATCTCGAGGTCCGTGAATTTGAGCCCCGCATCGGGTTCTGTGCTGACAGCTCAGAGCCTGGAGCCTGCTTCATATTCTGTGTCTCCCTCTCTCTGACCCTCCCCTGTTCATGCTCTGTCTCTCCCTGTCTCAAAAATAAATAAACGTTAAAAAAAATTTTTTTTTAATTTAATAAAAAAAATAAAATTGATTCACAGTGTTTGCTTAGCACAATCGTACCCACACTGAGAAGTGGCCTTGGTATGTCCTTTCACCGGGAGCAGTCACAGAGGGATCCGGTGATTCAGCTTTTAGTAAAAACCGCAATCAATTTAAAAGTATTTCAGATGTTCATGAGAAATCAGAAAACATGCCAAATCTCAACTGAAAGGGGGAAAAGGTAACGAGTATGTTTTTAAGATATTATTGATGAGACTCCTTCCAACGAAGACAACAGAGGACAACCACAACAAATTCTGTGGCAGGAATAATATTGAACATTCAAATAACGGGAGGTTCCTGACACAACTTACCTGTCAGTTTTTCAGTTGTTGTCAACGACTACAACATTGTTGGGAAAAAAATCCCCACTGAACATTACTAAAAGCATGTATGATGTGGAGGACACATCGCGTTTTTACCTCGGGCTCTGGTTCCGGCAGGACCCAGAGGGTGGTTCCCAGCTCATTCTTCTAGAAGGTCCTGAGAGTCAACATTTGGCTTCTTCACTTTCCAACTGAATGCGGCTCTTGTTCCTCCGGATTTGTGTCAGGATTTCTCCTGCTGGAAGCCTCCAGGGTGTCCCCCCGCCTGGGGTGGAACCTGCTGGAAACGCAGCTCTGGCTCTTTGCCCACGCTCAGAGGCACTGGGACCTCAGAAGCAAGGAAGCCTTTCCAGCTCTGAGGCACACTGGATCAGAAAAACCTAACAAGCGCCTTTTCCTGCCATCACTGAGCAAGCAGAAGACCAGGCCCTCCCTGGGCTTGGTGCGCACGCGCGCGCATGCGCCCTCTGCCGGCTGCCGGAATTCCTGCAATGCTCAAGGCCGTGGCGGCTCAGCTGGAGGTACTGAGGGTGCAGCCGGTCCAGTAGGCCTGTTCTCCAGACTGGGAAAGGTCTTAGTGACAGGGCCTGGGACACAAAGAAATCTTTTCCTTCTCCTGTATAGTGAGTGAAGAATGAAACAGAATTTATTGATGCCATGATATCATTTGTAATGCTTTAAAAAAATTTTTTTTAACATTTATTCATTTTTGAGAACCAGAGAGAGACAGAGTATGAGCAGGGAAGGGGCAGAGAGAGAGGGAGACACAGGATCTGAAGCAGGCTCCAGACTCTGAGCTGTCAGCACAGAGCCCGATGCGGGGCTTGAACCCACGAACGGCGAGATTGCGACCTGAGCTGAAGTCAGACGCTCAATCGACTGAGCCACCCAGGCGCCCCTCATTTATAATGCTTTAAGCAGCATTCCCAGAAATACAGAACGCAAATTGACACATGCTGAATGAACCACAGGCAGTGGCGTTTACCACGAAAATACTTGGGTTGAATAAAAAATTGACACCCTTGAGAAAGAGATACAGGCTTCCAGCTATGGAATGAATACGTAATGATGTACAAGGTACAGCCTATGGAATATAGTCAATCCTGTAAGAAAGGGTTGCATGCTTTCACATGATAGCTACACTTGTCTAGGTATCTGGAGAGCATAATGTATACACACGGAATCACTATGATATACGCCTGAAACTAATACAACATGGTGTGTCTACTATATATCAATAAAATTTGACAAAACTTTAAGTTTCTCCTTCACCATTAAAAAATTATTTCTAATTGAGAACATATGAAATTCCATTTATACCACATTCTCTAATGTCACCATCTTGATGTTGAGAGCTTATTTTTCATGTTGTCAATAATGTGTTTGATGACACAAATGTGACAAGGTCAGAATGCATACCCAGAGGGAGCTACACATCTGTTATGAATTTCCTGCCTCTATATGGGTAATATTTTCAATGAAAAATGCTTTCAGGGTGAAGACGGATGAAATAGTTTCCATCAGACTCATAGGTAGATAATTGTGCCTTCAAATAATAATTGCCATGTCTTCACAATCTGAGGAAGTCTAGGTGAAGACATAGGTTTCTCCTTTCATGTAAGAGAAGGCTGTGGTGTTTTAAACTGCTCACTTACAATCCAGAATCCAGAGGTCAGCAGTAGATGTAAGAATAGCAACGCACTACCATGTTGCACATAACTCGGTCCAGAAGGAGAATACAGACCTTATTCTCAAAAGCTTTTGGTTGAGATCAACAATCCATCTTTGCAAGTTCCAGGCTGCAGGCTCTGGGGACAGCACAATGCCTGATGCCTGGTTTTGGAACATAGGGAAGGTCATGCTCAAGCACGGGGGAATGGAGTAGGGACTGGGAGCAGTGGGGGAGACAGATGATGGTTACCTCCCCATGGGGCACACTCTGGACTTTACCTGCTGATGACCTGCACACTCTGCCTCAAGCCATTTCTCTCCATGACCGATACTGAGACTGGGCCCCAACACGCCAGGCAAAATGAGGGGCACCCATCTTCCCAGGGGCAATGGCCTGTACAGAGGTTGCCCCAGTGAGGTTGGAGCCTTGCATTCAGGGAACTGTCATGCCCAGGGTTCCCACACTTTCTGCCTCCAACACTAAGAGTATCGTCACAGAGCCCCTCCTGCATGGCCCATCACCCCCTCACACACTGTGACCAGCTCCATCCTTTCCTCTTTGACTCCTCTTTGTCTCTGCTTCTCTCTACTCCTGTCTCCCTCTGTTTCTTCCTCTCACTCTCTCGGACATGCCCAATTCCCCCATCACTGACTCAGTGTCTCTCTCCCTGCCTGTCTCTCTGCCTCTCCCCAGGCCCTCGGCCTTCTGCTCTGTGCAACCCTGGCCAAGAAGCAGGGCACCACATATCCTGTGTCCCCCTCTCTCCTGTCATGTTTTAGCCCAGGCCCTGATCGCAGTGGATGAGAATCCTGTTTACACAAGCTGCTCATGCTGACCTTTACTGCAGCACTGCTGTCCCAAGCCACTCCTGGGAAGCATGTGGACAGCCAGACCTTAACCCCCTGGTGGCCCAGCCATCATGACCCCAAAGTTGATGGAAGGCTGGTTGCCTCCATAACCTGGGAGGAAGGAGGGCCCAGCAGGAGTCAGGGGCTCGGGGGCATTATGCATGGGCTTTGAGGACCTGGAAAGAGCCAGATGCTTACAACCAACCCCACCTTGGTGGTGAGGGAGGAAAGGGTATCATGTCATCGACCTCTGCCCTGCCCATCCCTCACTGAGAAAACAGTGGGAAGAAGGGCACATGGGTGGCTCAGTCGGTTAAGTGTCTGACTTCGGCTCAGGTCGTGATCTCGTGGGTTGTGAGTTTGAGCCTCTCGTTGGGTTCTGGGCTGACAGCTCAAAGCCTGAGACTGCTTTGGATTCTGTGTCTCCCGCTCTCTCTCTCTGCCCCTCTCTCGCTTGTGTTCTGTCTCTCTCCCACTCAAAAAATAAACACATTGCAAAAAAATTAAAAGAAAACACTGGAAGGAATACAGGACATCATAAGTCTCACCCCAAAAACTACTACCATAAGTCTACCTCAGCTCCCACCTGGATTGGTGCTACTGTGAGGTAGCTGGTAGGTGGGAAAAGTCCCCAACATCTGGATTAATGCAGGGTTTCCTCACTGTTCTACCAGAGACACTGCTGACTCCTCATCCATTTCTTGCAATCAGGAATCAGCCACTTCGTGGGGACTGACAGCTGTCCTGCTGATCACCACACACCACTGTGACCAGCAGGCACCGTGTGCTTGCGAGTACCTATTGAGGAGTGAACGCCACCATCACCAGATCTAGAGGAAGGTTGTGTCCACCACCCCAGAAGGAACCAGGGGACATGTGCAGTCAATACAATTCAAACAGTGACTTATCTTCTGCCCCTATTACTGTAGATTCTAACTGTTTGTGACTGTGTATACAGGAGTCACACTGTATACATCAAAATAGAATGACCGTTATGTCCTCCTGGAAGCAGATACTGACACAGACACAGAACTGTGATGGGTTTATCAGGGGAAAAGAGCAAAGACAAAATAGAGGGGACAGGATTGGTCAGGGAAAGAATTCAGTCAAATACGTATATCAGACAACTTTTCTAAATATATTACATGACCACAGCCCATTTGTCGCAGTTCAGGGTCCTCTTCAAACTTCAAATTCTCCTGTAAGTCAAAGAGATTTTGGGTTATTACAATGGGATCTTATATTGTTGAAGACAAAATGCATGGAGGACAACAGATCTGTGGCCTTGGATGAACACTTCATTGTGTGGCCACATCTGTGTGTCTACCTATAAGGGAAGATGACTGTCTTTAAATCTTAGATATAGATTCCTGAATGTACACAGTATCACAGTTATCTTTTTCTTCTTTGTAAAACAGGACCTGAATTTTCATAGAAAAAACACTGGGGTCTTTGCCGTATCTTTTGAAATAGTGATTGCCAATCTCTCAGCCTCAGGCATTATACTCTCAGTTGCATGAAATTGAATGAACATCTGTAGATGATCTTCTGTGTGCATATACATTTATACCCTGAGAAGGGTGAGTGCCCACTCATCCCATACATTTTACAAATTCCTTATGTGCTTGTCACCTCTTCATCGTACTGACCTCAGCAACCAACATTGTCCCTGTTTCTCAGATTACAAATCTCAGGCTCTGAGATGGCCCCACTGAGAGCTGGTGTTAGAGCTGAGCCAACAGGAACACAGGCAAAGCCTCAGGAAATTGTGAGGGAAGTTCTGGAGATGCAAACCCACAGGCAGGGTGGTGACAGCAGATGCAGGGGTGTGATGACCAGACTTCAGCAGGGGCGGCTCCTCCTCAACCCTGAATTCCCCAAGAATCTGACTCAGGCTGAAGGCCAAGGAAGCCGTTCAGTTGATCTACAACCTATCTTCGCACTTAGTCTCACTGAGACACACAAACTTAGGCAGACAAGCATTTCCTAAGACCAAGTTTAATTTACCAAATCTCCAGGACATTCTTTCATACATGTGCAGACCCTTCAGAAAACCAAAGGAAACAACAGTCTTCTTTTTAGATTATGAACTGGGTGCACTGTGGTAACCTTGACATTCCAGAGATGATGACTGCATTGTACACTGTGCTTGAACCCATGAAGCAGTTCTTTGCAGATATCCTCATGCTCCCTGCCCAGGCCGTGGGCCCTGCCATGAAAAGCCTCCAAATCCATCCTACTGACCCCAACACCCTCCTTTCTGCACCTCCTCAAACTCTGCTTGCCACCCACAACTTACTTTCTATTCCTGTGTGATTCAAGTTTCCCCCATTCCTTCCCTGCTGCTTCCATTATGGTGACCACAAGTTCTGTGTCATATAATGCATGTGCCCCATTTCACACAGGACACATGAGGCACCTAAAGTTAGGGGTGCATCTCATCTGTCACAGAACCCACAACATTGTGTCTGTAAAATACACACCAGTACTGCTGATACGTCTACCGTTGTGTAAAAATCCTCTTTCTTTTTGACAAGAGAAACCTATACCTCACCTCATTTCAGGGAAATGGCAAAGCCCATCATACCTATGTCCTGAGAAACCTTGGATTTATATTACACTGTCCTCAGGCAGGTTTGCAGTTGAATTGCCAAGCCCTCACAACCATCTCTACGTCATTCCCACAAAGTCTTTCACAAAGAAGATGAATACGCTTTATCAGTCACTCATCCAGTTCAGGTCATCTTACCAAATTGAGTACTTGGAGGAGCTGGAGGTGGCCCATAGCCCATGACTGGTGATGAAGGGTGATCCATGGGGTACAGCTTGCAAGGCAAACCTAGGAAAGGACCAGGCCCTCTTGCATACATAATGGCCTGCAGAACAGAAATGAAAGCTATGTTCAGAGGTCAGAACCAAGTACCAACACTGGCAAAAAGTGGAAGCCTAAAGAACCAGTGCTCATCTCCCGCCAGCTTCCCCACCACCAGGTTCCAAGCGGGCAGCATCGGCATCAAAAGAACTCTACCCATACTTTGGGTTCTATTGAGAGCTTTGGGGGTGGGGAACAGAGGCTATGGGAAGGAACTAGGATCTCCACATGTCTGCAAATGTAGGACAGCAAGGGCTCTTGTCCTAAAGGATTCATGGAGTGAATATGGAGTAAATTAATAAAATAGCATATTCCCGATATTAAGGCATCTAAGTCCAGGATCAACCACCACCCCTCATCCCCCTCTACCACAGAGGCTGCTTATTTGTATGTGAAGAACTACAGAATATGAAGGAATGACAATCCCAGTCTCCACACATGGAATCATAGTGCTTGTGGCTCAAAGATCTGCCTTTAAGCCCCTGCCTGTGCCCAATCTGCTTCTCTCCCAACAATGGGCTCTTCTCCTCTCTGGAAGTGCTATCCATGGGCACAGAGACACATGGGGTGATGGGGATACTGATGTCATGCAGAGAACCTGGAAATTCATGTTCTTAGAGAAACATGTCACTTATACATGTTAGTTAGGCTTAGGTAATTTATTTTAATGCAATGGTACTTCTCAGTTTAAGTATAGTACAATTTTCATGGTAATTGTGTCCTCTGAAAAAATGAGCTGAAATTCTAAATAACAGAATTAACATAAACACACTTTTGTTTCTGCTGTACATTTCCATGTTTCACCTGTAACACTGACACAGGACACAAGAGAACATGCTCATGTGAACACAAACGAAGGACACAGTGGGGAATTACGATGCAGGCAATTATGGACTTTCCCTCTTTGCCACTCATGTTCCAATGCATGTTTTCTAGGACAATTATGTCACCTCTTATAGTTCAGAGTATTTATACCCAGGGCACATGTGAAGGGATTCCGGATAGCACATTTCAAAAAAAAAAAAAAAAGAAAGAAAGAAAGAAAAGGCTAAATGTGATGGGTATGAAATTTACATTGTCTAAGACCACTCTAAATGACACATACAAAAATAAAGTTGGAGTGAAGGTATTTTGCATTTTCATACCATAAGGATAACTGCGGATTTTCTGAACACGTTAATCCCCTAGACAAAAACAGAACAGGAAGTAACAGTAAGAACAATGATTCCACTTTGAGGAGGTGCAGAAAAAATGAGGCAGGCCAGAAGACTTCCAGGTGGAGTGTGATGTCATCCTCCTTGGGTTATTTCCAGGAACATACTGGAAAAGCCCTCAGATCCTCAGCCCTGACCACGTTTGGCTTCTAAACTTACCACAAGGAGTTGACGAGATGAAAATAGAGAAGCCCGTAGACACTTGGGTTAAGGTTGTGCATTTGGAAAATAAGAAAAATAAGCAGATGTATTATACAACACAAAAAAAAACAGAGACAATGCCAGGAGAGAGTGCTGAACAGAAAAATAAGGGTTTCCACAAAAAGTTACAACTGCAAATGTCCACACACTTACCTTGTCCTTCTTGGTCCTTGTGGTAGAGTCAGTTTTGTTGTCAATCACGGGAGCAAAATCTGGATCTGCAAAAGACCCTATAAAGGATGGAGGTTTATTTTGATTGGAGTAGATTGTGCAGAGACAAAAAAAAACACACAAAAAACAAAAAACTAAAAACAAAAACCATCACCTCATTCCTCAAATAACTTAAACTCTTTGGCCCAGTCACATCCCAAATCACATGCAGAGGGTATCCCACATGCTTCAGGTGATCCCAAGGTGAAGGGGAGAACCATCCCTTAAACTTTGATGATGACCTGTTATAGCCCTGGTTCAGGTGCTTTCATGACTCATCAAACAACTGTGGATGAGTGAGGGCTCAACTGGATAGATATACGTTAGGCTGAGCCTCATGCCTCCCAATGCCCAGCACATGGACTGTGTACGGCACACATCTGCTGAAGCGCCATGCCTGCTTTTCTGTATATGGCCCCATTCCATCTCCACAAGAGACATATGTACCAACACAGAGTGGGGAAAATGACACAAAGATGATATGTGGATCATGAGACACTCGAGGAATGTGGTAATGGCGGCAGACACATTTCTCTTGCATCATAATGCCCCGTAGTAACACCTCTGCACCTTGTCCAAGACTCAGCAACAACAAAAATCAGATGAACGTGCTTTGAAAGTCAACTCATACTGCTCACATCATCTTACCAAGTGGTGCAGGTGGAGGGGTTTAGGGTAGTACCCAGGGCCACCAAGGTTCAGGAGGTGGATGTGCCCAGGAGCCCGTAGGGTGGCCTCTAGGGTAGGTAGGGTGTGCAGAATCTTCCAGTTAACAGAGGAGGTCCCCATGGATCCACACTGCCCTGCAGAACAGAAGTGACAGCTACATTCAGATGCCAGACAAGAGAACCGACACCCAAAGCAGCTGAAACCCAGAGAAGTACGGGTCAGCACCTGCCACCTTCTCTGCCACTAGGATCCAAGAGAGTAGCATCACTACCTGAAAACTTTATCCTCCCACTGGGTACCACCTACAGCCTAGGCAAATAAATGCAGGAGGCTAAACTACTGACACCACATATCCCTGCCCATGTCTGAGAATGGAGAACAAAATGATCCCATCTTAGAGGATTAAAAGAAGTAAGTCCAAACAAATGAAGTAGCATATTCCAGACAGGCAGACATCTATGTCCAAGATCACCCTGCATCCCTCCACTACAGTGACTGTAGAAACTCTGTTTTTGGCATCTACAGAACACACACACACACACACACACACACACACACACACACACAATTGAGTGCAAATAAACAGCTCACTTTCTGCACAAAAAAAAAAATCACAGCTACTACTGGGGAAAAGTTCTGCCTGTTGGCCCCTCACTTTGCCCCCTGTTCCCTCCTTGAGAAAGGGGTCTTCCCCATCTCTGGAAGTGCTGTCAAAGGCCTAAGAGGCCACTGGGGAGTTGGGGATCCCTGGAGTCTTGCAGGGGAACTGAGAAAGTGTTTGCTGTGACAAACACATTATTTACCAGTGTCTACTAAGCCCACATGTGTTTATCTGAATTCATAAGGAATTCTGATTTTGAGCACACTACGAAGACACAGAGTAATACATCATATGGGAAAAAAGAGGAAATTCATGTAACAGAATTAATGTGAACATGTTTTGATTTTGGTATCAATTCCCTGGGATGTGTCATGAGTGATGGTATCAGCTCTAAAACGGATTGGAGACACAACAGAACCTGCTCGTGTGAACACAAGTGAAGGACCTTGTGTTCAAAACATTTTTACCCAAGGCACAGCTTGAAGGGTTCCAAACAGCTCATTTACCAACGAAGATGTGAAGGTGGTGAGTTATGACAATGACCTTTGCCTAAGACCACTCTAAATTGTACAAGGCACACAATATAAAAATAGAGGGGCGTCTTTTCACATTTCCAATTAACAGATAGCTTTAACACGTAATCGCATGACCAGAAAAAGGAAAATAACAAGAACACTGATCCCACAGAGAGGCGGTATGGCAGGAGTCAACAAGCCTAGAGACTTTAGTATGGAGCGCAGTGTTATCTTCCTGTGTTATTTCCAGAACACATGGGAAAAGCAATAGGGTACTCAATCTCTAAGTTCCTTTGGCCACTAAATTTACCAGAAAAAAAGGTGACAGGCTGAAAAGAGAGAAGCCTGTAGACTCTTGGGTTAAGGATGTGCATTTGGCAAATAGAAACAGGCAGACATATCACACAACACAAAAAAAACAGGGAAAAGGCCGGAGAGCATGCTGTATCGCAAATGAGGGTGTCCCGACAGACTTACAACTGAAAATGGCCCCAGCATTTTCCTGGTCCTTCTTGGCATTTTTGGTAGAGTGCTTGTTTTTGTGACTCATGGGAGTGACACCAGCTTCTGGATCGGCTAAAGGCTCTAGAAGGGATGGAGGTGTATTCTGCTTTTAGTAGGCTGTGCAGAATTGAAACAAACACCACATCTTGTGACATCTTAAACTCTTCCCCACACTCAGGACCATGAAGAAAGGCAGAGAGTAACCCACAAGCCTCAGGTGACCCCGACGATAAGGGGGAGATCCATCCCATCATCTTAATGAAGAAACCATAGGGCCCTGGTTCTTGTTCTTCTTAATTAGTCAAATAACTTTCGACAGGTCAGCTCAAATAGAAATCTGGAAATCGTCACCAAAACAGCCATTTCTTAATATACATTAGGGGTAATAAATCACCATCTCATTATAGATAAAAATTAAAATGAGAGTCTCAATTGGTGTATAACATCAATAAATCCTCAACAGAAGAGCATGGGTGTGTTTTGTCTGGCTCCAGGGGAATTGTTCAATCTTTCAGCTTATCTGTAAGCTGCCTTCCACATGTCAGCAGGTATTGTATAACTATTTCCGAATAGAAATGGACTTAGACTAATATTATAGTCAAGAGAAAAGATCTGACCCTGACCTTTGAGGGAGATTCCACAGGGCCCTGGTTCAGGTGTTTTCATAACTGATCAAGCAACTGTGAACAGCTCAGGTCTCAACTAGCTAGAAATAAATTTAGGGGCATGTCTCATCCCTCAGAGAGCCCAATACGTGGTCTCTGTAACAAGCTACATCCTAAAGAGTGCTATGTCTGTCAACCTGTATAAGGCCTGTTTCTTCTCTGTAAGAGACACTTGCTGCCCAGCTGACCATGTGGAAAAAATAGCCCATTTCATGCATGTCCCAAGAATGTTACAATGCCTTCAGTCAGGCTGACCTGAAAGCCCTGTGATGCCATCACTGCATCTTCCCCCAAAGACTCAACAAGAAAAAATAGATAAAATGTGTTTTGCAAGTCAACTTCTACTATTCAGATCATTTTACCAAATGGTGGAGGTGGAGACGGAGATGGAGGGTGAGGTCCCAAAGGCCACCAGGTTGGAGAATATGGGGGTGGCCCAGAGCTCATGAATGGTCATAAAGGGCAGCCCATGGGTACCTCATGGAGGGCACTTCTGGGAAAGAAGGAAATGCTCTGGCAGCCATGTTGCCCTGCAGGACAGATATTAAACTTTTGAGATATGTTAGGGTAAAAGATGAGAAATCCAACACCAACACCAACGCTAACATAGCTGAACCACAATGAAGCAGGAACAGTGCTTGTCTCCTTCCCTTCCACCTGGTTTCAACAGGGCAGCATCAGTGCTGCAAAACTCCACCCTTCCCACTGGGTCCCACCTAGACCTTATAGGAGTTTGAGAAAAGAAGACAGTAAGTTTCTGGCAGCATGCATGGTACTGGCTGTGTCTGCAAATGGAGGAAGGAAGTGGCCGGTCCTAGAGGATCAGATAGATAATTCCAGACTACTAAAGAATGTCTGTTCCACACACACAGGCATCTATTTCCAGGACTACTCTCCACCCAGCCCTTTACCACCTCAACAGCTCCATCTTGGCATATTAAGAGCAGATAGAAGGACAGGGAATTATGGTTTCATAGCATTCATTTAAATCTTTAGTCTGCCTCCAGTTAATTCTTATGAGTGGTTTCACCACGGAGACTCATGAGAGAACCTTCTACAGGCCTTTCATGCCCGAGCTCTGATTCTCAAAACTCTGCAAGGTAAGGATGGCCAGCCACACCCTGCTCTAAGAGGAATGAAGGTAAAAGGCTTGCAAAAGGTGAAGCAGGAGTTGATACCAGCTCTGCCTGCAAGGTCCTGCTGGCAGCCTCGGTTACCTGGCTCCCTCTCTGGACCTGCTGTCCGAAGCCACACAGATCTCTGGGGAGATGACATCCCTAAAGGGGAATTGGGAAAAGTGTTTTCTGCAGGAACAGTGCCACCTACAGGAGTTAGTTAGGAAAAGTTATAGATAATATGTGAATTCACAGGTAATGCCGAATTTTTAGGTACACTGTGACGCACAGACTAATTTTTTCCCGCGGAAAAATATTTTGGAATTTGAAATGACAGAATTAAAATGAATATGTTCTGATATCAAAATGGAAAAGACAGTTAAGGTATGAATAGAAGATGCCAGCTATAACAGCTACAGAGGCCATAAAAGAACCTGGTTACATGAACATGGCTTCAGCTCTTTTCCAGAAACTGGCACATCAGACCTGACTTTCACTCTCTGTTCCTTCAGTTCCAGTGTACATTTTCTACTGCAAATGTGTCTTCCCTGAGAATTCATAATATTTTTACTAACTGAACAGCTGCAATGACTCTGCAAAAGCACATTTCCCAAAAGAGATGGGAAAACTGATGAATTATGAAATTTAGAAAAAAATAACCTTCGAATAAGAGCATTCAAAATTGATACGCACCTCTCAGAAAGTTGGGCTTTTCATGTATTTCAGTTAGTGAGAATTACAATCGATGTTCTAAACAGGTTGGCGACTAACTCTGGATAGAAAAGGAGTAAAAGAACAACAACACTACTGTTTCAGTTTTCAGGAACATTCCCATGAAAGGGGGTCTGGAAGAAGTGAGCCAGGCCAGGAGACGTAAGTGTGGAGGGAGATGTCATCCTCCTCATGATATTTCCACAAACACACAGTGACTTCCCTGTGGTCCTCAGCCTCTAAACACTTATGGCTGCTGGAGGCACCACCAAAGATGACCAACAAGCTAAGAACAGAGAGGCCCATAGGCTCTTGGGAAAGAGTTTTACTCTTTGTAAAGTAAATAACACCATAGATATATCTCAGAACACACAACCTAAAGACAAGACCAGGAGAAAGTCTGTATAAAGAGAAAAAGATTCCAGAGAGAGAGCTACAACTGAAAATGGTCACATCATTTCCCTTGACCTTCTCTGTGTCCATAGTAGGGAAAGAATTCTTGTTCCTCACAGAAGTTGCACAAGGTTCTGCATGTGATAGAGGCCAAAGAAGGGATGGAGGTTTCTTCTGACTTGCATAGACTGGGTGGAAAAAAACAAAACAAAAAAAAAACCTCTGTGCCTTCCTCCATCTTCCTACAATGAGGTCCCTTCACAGAAACAGAGGGTTTTCCACATGGCCCAGGTGGCTCCTTGGGACTCAGGGGAGCGTTGAGGAAGGCACTAGAAGGCTTTGGTTGGATATTTGATAATGAACCAACTGTGGACAGGTCAGGGCTCAATTCATTGGAAATTAACATGAAGAGAAGGGTTTCCTAATACACATCATGGGAAATGACAATTTATCAGATTAAAAATGAAAATAGGAATGGTTTAGTTAGGATAATGTCCGTAAACGTCAGCATGAACAGCACACTGTCTTTTTCTACAAGGCATGGGTGGGGCGTTTGAAGTGGTTTACTGTCTACATTGTCTGCTTTATGTGTATGACAAGGGATTATGTGAGGATTCATGAACAGAAATTGCCTTGAAGAGACTAATACTATAGTAATGAGGTAGGGAAAGGTTAATTCCATGTGGAATGACCTGCAAAGTTTTAGAGTTACACTAATAAAATAACATTAGAGGAGTGAAATTTCACAAGGATTTACTTTACTAATGGAGTACTATAGCTCAGAATACAAAAAAACACAAACATCTTTTAAAGAATAAAGGGACCTCCAAACAGAGGTAAATAAATGTCCGCTTTCTTTACAGAAAGCATATTTTCTACGGAGCATTTATCCAAAAGCCAATCAAGAAAGCTCATCGGGACATACAGCCTCCAATTCATGCTGTTGTTCACATTATTCATGTGAAACAAAAGAAAAATCCTTCAACATTGTCTCAAGGTGGAAGGGGGACTGACCCACATCCGTTCTAGCACCCACTCTCCAGTTAACTGTAACTGGGAGGTTGTAGGGGGGCCCACAGTCATTGGAGGGGCGTGAGCTACACCACGCACAAGGGACAGACCCAAAGAGCCCTGCTGGCTGGGGCATCTGAGGGAAACAGTGTCCTGTCACCACTGTGAGACAACTTTGCCCTCTAGTAACCACCTGGGACTGTTTGCAGGAGACCAAACAATTACACCCACGGGAACAATAAGCCAATTGTGCAGATGTTGCTGCAGAAGTTAAACTACTGCATTTCACGATGTGCTCTGTACCTCCATGGAGGGATCTCCCTGTCAGGTCTTCTTGCCATTGGTTTGTGCCTCCTGAATTCCTCTGGAAGCCTCTGTCTTTGGATGACTTCCAGTCTTGAAGATCAAGATGAATCCGTTTCACTATGAGCTACCACACCCAGGCCTCCACTGGACACCAAACAGTTTAGCCTTTTTAAACACGTCACAGCACCCTTAAAATAAATATGTCAAAATCCTGTACCTGCACTTCAAGTAGGCCACCTCCCTGCTCTGCTCAGCCACCGCCCTCTCCAGATCACGAGCCCTGAGCTGGGAGAGAGAAACACATCCACGTTCAGCTGTGGCAGGATGTGCACAAGAAGAGGAGAGAAAAACATTCTTACCCAGTTGTCCTGAGTCACCTTCTCACCAAGAGCCATCTGAAAGAGTCAGCACATCAATAAAAACCCATGTGGAGAGATTCAGTGGCCCATTATGATCATCTGCATTAGGTGCTGAAGCACTCATGAACTACTGGGCAGAGTGCAGATACCTGGTGTCCGAAGGTGAGCTCTGACTGCTGCAGCTGTTCTTGTGTTTCTTTTACTCTTCTCCTGGGTGTGCAATGGCTTTCATCAGATGAAGCACCATGTTGAGGGTGATGTTAATTGGCCCAGGTTCCCAGTATAAGAACTGAGTTCTCATACACACGATCTGATCATATAAGACACATTTCACATGAGGAGGAGAGTACAGAAAGCTCAAAGCCATCGCTACATCATCTTGGATTCATTATTTAATGCCTGTGGGGCTCCACGTTGACACGGTCTCCTTACCTGTGGTGACAGCTCCCTAATTCTGCAATGAGGATCTTTCACTGTAAAGTCCAAATCTTCTTTTCCTTGTATCTTCATCATTATTTCTCATGGTTACAACAAGTGGGTCTCTTAAATGGGATGGTCATACTTGTCAATGTGATTCGTCCTCCACCAAACTGCTTCCTGAGGTTTGTAATCATATCCAGCACCTCCAGAAACATGTTCAGGAACCACATTTCCACATAGTCTGGCCAGCATCAGGGATCAGGAAATCTTTAGTGCCTTAACTTGTTTAGATTAATATTTTTAACTTAACATCTGGAAAATGTCACATTTCTCCTGAAGTGTCTATATAAATAAATGTCTCCTGAATATTTGTATAGATTTGTGTGCTACTTGGGTCTAAACACTGTACAAAGTTTCAAAGTAATACAATGGGTGTCGTGTGAGATGCTGGTAGGAGCTGAACTCACTTGTAGATCCACAGCTCTTCTGCAGCTAATTTCAGTTTCTCCTCTGTGGCCGACAGCTGCTTCTCCCCTTTCACCTGCTCCCATTCTTTCAGTCGCAGCTTCATTAAAGGGAAAGAAACATAGATTACCTGGTAGCCCATGTGAAATTCTGCCTTTCTTCCCTCCCTGAAATCTGAAGGCAGGACTCAAATGTCCCCTCTCCCCTTCCCCATAAATGCACAGATCCTCACACACAACCAGGGGGAAGCATTGACACACCCCATGAAGGGACTAAACAAACTCAAACTCCAGCATGCTGGCAAGTCTTTGGCAACTCTGAGTTTCTCTTCACAGCTTTCTGTTCTTACTCATCAATACATCACATAAATATAAAAAGCCCACATGAGACACAATAAGTGCCCTCCCAGTCTCAGACTTGTGCTTGTGATGGGGACGGCACAAGCGTATTTCTTGTCAATGTACAAAACCAAGCCTAGCCAACTCATCACAACTCAACACATAAGGATGACGCAAGGGTTCCTGACTTTCTCCCAAGAGCCCTGAACTTTCAATCAAGGCTCGGGCCATGACACTGCCATAGAGGCATCTTTCCCGGACATGGTGTCATTAACACTGTACAATGACCTACTGGACATTTCTACACTTCACGAGGGAACTCCTGCCACCTGACTCAAAGACATCAGTTGAGAAGAATGCAAAATACACTGATGAAAAGAAAATGATGTGAATTGCCCACCTTCAGAATACTGTCTCCTGGAAAAGGAATGAAGAGAAGGGAAAGAGAGAAAGGAAAGAAAACTGAGTTCACAGGTTTCAGTAATGCTGGCACCCCTGATCTCCTACCAGACATAAACTCCCATATCATCTGCAGCAAGATACCATCACAGCACACCTGAATTCTCCTCCCAATATTTCCTACCCAATGTCTAGAGTTCAACCAAAAATATACGTACATATGGCAGTCATGTTGCCACGATGGGGCTGAAAGGTAAAGGACATTGAAAATGAACCCTGAGGTTTCCACAAAGCGAAGGAAGGTGCAGATCACCTTCAAGGCAGAAGGGAGAAACACAATTCTTTACTGATTACTATGGTAAAAGTATGGTTGGTGTTAAATGTGCTCAAAGAAAGAAAATTATCCCCGCTGTCTGACACATTCATTCTTATAACAGTGTTTGTAACAATTAACTCCTGAAAGTCTTACTCTTCTGTGAGCTTCTCTCTTTGTCCACACATTCCAACACGAACGTCTACATTCTTCTTCAGCGTGTCCCATTTGGCATCTTTTGCCCCTTTCCCACACCTAAGTGCATCACAGTTGTCCCCCAGTTCCCTTTTGCTGCCTATCAAGCATAAAACAGTTTGAGTGTGCACACCTGTTCCCACGAGTGTGGCCATGAGAGGGGAGAGGAGAAAGGACAAGACTCCCAAGGCAGGAAGCCACTTTTTACCTTCCCAGAGCAAACTCATTCTACCAAGAGTGGTTTTCTCCCCCCCAATGCAACACCTTTTCCACGTGACATTTATTAGACGTCAAGACTCTCTGCATCGAATCCTTGATGCGTGCAGTATCTCCTGACTTTAAGACAGATTTGAGGAAGGTGGAATGACTATAGAAGAACATACAGTATAGCGAATGTACTTACCAATACTAAAATGTACACTTAAATGTTTATGATGGGAAAAATTCTAATGCATGTATTTTACCACAGTTAAGAGAAACTTAAAAAGAAAGTAATGATGTTCAGTTCTCTGATTTATAT